GAGAGAGAGAGAGAGAGAGAGAGAGAGAGAGAGAGAGAGAGAGAGAGAGAGAGAGAGAGAGAGAGAGAGAGATGATTAGTCTATTCGCCAGAGCGTACACACTGATCTATTATTTACTTAACCCCCCCAAAGACGAGAAACAGTTTTACCTAAGACGCACTAAAACCGCCAAAAGTACTTGCAGGACTTCATATTTTAAAAACTCGGGCAAAGTAAAAACTGGGCTTTGGTAAACTAATGAGGAACCCGATTTACTAACACAATGTAGAGTTATTTCTGAGGGTCCCCTAGGACAGAACAGACTATGTACCCCCGAGTTCTCAAAAGGAGTGCCGACGAATATAAAAGGGCTTTTCTGTTTGTTTGCATCTCTTCCTCCGAGAGTTTGGGACTACCACTATTTCAAACGTTATGTATGTGTATGATTATGTATGCACTTGACAAATAAGAACATGTGGCGTTCTCTCTCAATTAGAGGGACTAATTAAAGGTCAAACACCCCCACACTTTCTTTCGGTCTCAAATTCTCCTGCTCAAAGTGTAAACAACCGGGCTGTACTACTTACACTGTACTTGATAACACATGAAATATGACTGCTGGGAAGTCCAGGACACCAAAACACGATGCTGAGAGCTTATTGATCTCAAGTTCAATCATGATTTGAAAACATTGATACAGAAGCTCTCAAGGTATTCTGTGGTCACCTGGCAGCTTTTCCTTTCTGCACAATATGGATGTTTTCCGATAATCCATTAGTTTATTTCGACCAACGGTAAACTAAATTTCTCTCTCACAGGCCTCATTACGTAATGGTTTGAATAAAAGAAAACACGGCATGGGGTAAATAAATACTTTTCAGAAAGCAGCTCCGCCCGCCCCCGGGGGAAGGGGTCATATTTTTGTTTGGAGAGGGTGGTTTTTGGGGGGATATATTTATTTTTTCCCCTTTTTTTCGGGGGGGGGGGGCTTTCTGGAAAGTAATAATTTAGATTAATGTACTGAAATGGCGATGAGTACTACCCAGTATGTTCCGAAAATTGCAAATTCATAATCATGGAGATGTAGGAGGGATCGTTAGAGCTCTTTGAAAAGAACCCCCCCCCCCAAACCTTTAGGACTATTTTGTCAAAGCGTAATTTTCAGTGACTACGCCTGTTTCTAGCAAGGAGTAGAAGAAACTTCTCCAAAATGATTTCAACAACGTTGAGTATTTATCAGATGCCAATCTCTGTACGTTTTAAATTATATCCTGTTTATCATATTCACGCACCTCCTTTCTTGTTCTTGTTGAAGATTTCGACTTTGTCTCGTATTATGTATAAGACTGTAAAGTTCCCAAAGAAAAAAAAAAAAGAAAAAAAAAAGATTAGAGAACTCTCTCTCTCTCTCTATCAAGTTTAGCTTAGAGGAAATTTGGGTTCTAATAATTAATTTTGCTGCTATGTTTTTCTTGACGATTCTTTGTAAGAAAAAAACCCCCAGGGTACCTTTTGCTTGAGGCGATGCAGGCTTTGTTACACATCATTACGGGATATGGAAACGTACAACGTCATGGGTATCTGGGGTATATATCACATTAACTCAAAAATTAAAAATTACATAAAATCAAAAATTAATGATCATGTTAAATAGATAAATAAATATCGTATTAAATAAACAAAACTATATATCATATGAAATCAAATTAAATATCAGATTAACTCGAAAGTTAAATATCATATCAAATAAACAATTAAATATCATATTAACTCAGAAGTTAAACATCATATTAAATAAAAAGACGTCATATCATGTTAACTCAAAGCAATGAATAATAATTTGTCATTTACTGAGGGCATGGGCAAAGCCTATCTCAACATAATTATGAAATACACATAGAACATTGTCAGCAATCATCCATCACAAAGGTTGACCATAACAACAAATGAACAGAACGCCCCGCTTACCCGAGAGCAGCGAAACTGACAGGTCTGGGAGTGGAGTAGGTTATCTGGGAGTCAGTGGTCCGTACAGAGAGAGAGAGAGAGAGAGAGAGAGAGAGAGAGAGAGAGA